TTCCTAGGAGATTTCTCGGACCTTTCCTTCGGTTCGGGGTCTGGCCAGGCACCCTCTCCTTTTTTGGAAGAACCTACCGGTTTTCCGTGCCTCTTATCACTCGCTCTCTTTTGCTTCGGTCGTCTCCGGCCGTCTCACTCGCTTCGCGGACAAATTCCTAATGAGAACTTTCCGCGTCTCACACACGCACAAACTCGCACGCGGCACTTCCCAAACCGCCCGTTCCGGAACCCCGATTTTCCTACTTACGTTTTTCCCGACTTGACTAGTCCCCGGTACTAGAAGAGAGCCTCCGAAATGGACGTTCGGGTCCGGCTCACAGCAGGGTCTGCCGGGCGCAGATCAGCGCGAGGTCACCGGAAAAAAATACCCAGGAGCGCTCTTTGACGTCATCACTGGTCCGCGCCGGTTTCTCCTGGAAGCCGCGCCGAAGGTCGCCGCGCCGCAAGGGAGCTCGCTCGTGCGGAGCCCGGAGTGAGCTACCGCAAAGGAACGGCGCCTTCGCGCCCCACGCTGGGCGCCAGAAAATGTAAGGTTTGCAACCCCGAATCTCAGAGAAATCCAATGCCAACAATTCAGGAGGCGGTTCTTGGAAAAAAAAACAGCTTTTTATTCGGCCGAGTAAAGGAAGCTGGGTGGTCAATTACCCAAAGCATAGGCAGCAAATATGCCAGGGTTTTGCCACACCACCGGAAGTGCAAGCTCTATCAATTCTCACTGCATAAAGCTGGAATGCCTTGGAGGACTCAGCTGCTACAAAGAAGTTTTGGTGGTTCTTTTCCCACATTTTGGTATTTTTAACAAATTCCAGTGGCATAATCAGAGTCAGTGCTATGGTTGATACACTTAGGGCCTGAGGTTCTTTACACCTTTCTTATTCCTTTTAGCACCCGCTTGCTTACAACTACAGGAGAATAAAAGCCAAAGCAGCCATAGATTGCCTAGAGAAGCCCTGTTTTCACGGATCTGTTCTAGGGTTTCATCTCAGTTACAGTTGTCAAAAGGAACAGTGAACCAGAAAGTTCAATAATCCAGAAAGGGTGAGTGGCTACATAGAGTTCATTTAATTCTATGCCAGGTTGAGTTGTTTGAGGGTAAATCTAACTTCTTCAGACTCTGTCAATTGACCCTGTTTTGGTTACACACTAATTCCCCACTGACTGTTAAATGTGTTGTGAGAATAGGGTCACTGGATATTGCAGCAAAAACTTGGATTTCACAGACCACCATTCAATGGACTTTGAATGACAGGGACAAAATTTTAGTTTGGATCTGATACCCAAATGACAAAATCCATTGTTTCCAAAGCCATCCAGACAGTCGGCAGAATATATCTCTATTTATGTCATTTGTTAGACCCACACTGTTTTCAATTACATTGATTTATCATCTTGACTTTGGCTACAGGCTACCAGAAGAACAGGCAACTGGGCCTGCTAGGCTACATACCTTACCTCACACCTACCAGGATCAAGTTTCCACAGCAAGAGAGATCCCAATTTGATTTCATAAATAGTTGTGAAATCAGTTATAAATATTTACCACTTACATCAAGAGTCTTGGAAAGAAAAAAAACAATTTCCACTGCTGCTCTCCATTCAGTGTTCAGTGGCATTCTGTTGCTGGAGATGGAAGTTCCACATTAGAGCCCTCAATAGATTGATCCTCTAGTGAAGCCTTCCTCAGTTCAGACTACAACAGGCTGGGGAGGACATCTCTTTTGGCCATTACTTGTAGTAAGATGTAAAGGTGCTGATTATGGTAAATAGACTGAATTTATCCTAAGCACTAGTTTGTTTTCTTGCTTGTGGACCAGAATATTGTATGAAGCTAACTATAATGAAGCCACAACTTAGTGCTATGTGTGAACCCAACTATAGACAGCCTTCATTTTATTTCTACCTCTGGAAGCTGGCCATGTGACCCTCTCCAGTTACAAAGTCATTTAGAATTCTCTTCATACACCCAACTCTTATCACTGAAAATTTAGAAGAAAAAAATAAAATGGTCAAGAAAAATAAACTTTATCAAAAGTCCCCAGTTCCTCAAGGAGCTCCTGTGTTTGGCAGAAACATGTGAGGCAGATTATAACTGCTCCTTTGTAGTCATTGAAAAACCTTTCGCTTGCTTCCCCCAAGGCTAGAAAGGACAACATGATTTCACAGATAGTCTTTTTTTCCCCCTAAAATATGCTTGAATCACCTAACATCAATTTGTTCCTCCAGGCAACCCCTTTAAGGACTTAGTTGCATCCTCATAGCCTCATCCAATAAATTCCCCTTCTTCAAACCATTTGACCTCTTCACAGGAGAAGACAATATAGCAACAAGTTCTGCATTCCTGTCTAGACATTCTGCACTTTTATATTTTTGATCCTATGCCCAAATTCTTCCCATTCCATCATACCCCAAAGTTCTCAGCTTAACTCTTTGCTGAAAGAAACCACCGTAGTCAGATTTCTGCCTATTGTCTTGCAATATATGAAGAGTCCAGAAGTATGCAATTGTAGCATTTCCCTTACCAGTGGAACACAGGAATGCGATAGGGCTGTCCCCATACAGAGTAGTTTCTGCATTTGTCTGGTGCCAGGCCTCTTGTAACATTTGTGTAACAGGCAAAAAGACATTGGGTACAGTTTCCTTCAAAAAAAACTTTAAAAAATAAAGTTTCTGGTGAGTGACTCCTGGTGACTTTGTGGTCACATCATGTAGCTTTCTTGACAACACTAAAGAAGTGGTTTGCCATTGTTTTCTTCCTCGATTTTTTTTTTTCAACTTCTATGTCTAGCTTAGAGTCCTATGATTCTCAGTTTCCCATCCAGATACTAACCAGACCTAACACTGTTTAGCTTCCAATCCCAAAGTAAGTCCAGTGCTGTCATCTGTTGAAACTTCTGCCAGTCAAGCCATGGTGAAAAGCAGAAAGCGCAACTGGTACAAAAAATACGTCGTTCCTTTTATCTTCAGATAAGAAAGTGACTTCCCATACTACGGGGCAATCTTGTATTGTCACATTGGATGGAGTCATACATAGCACTAAGCCATAATATAGTTTGTTTGGTTTGGCCTTAATCTGATGTACGAACTCAGCCGTTGTAATCTGTAAACCATGGTTTCCATTGTGTGAATCGAGATAGTGTGGTTTGATCACAATTGTGGTTAAAAGAAATTGTAGTTGTAGTGAGTTAATTTAGACTGAACCTAATTGGGTTAACTTACCTGAGAAGAGGAAGACAGTCTCAGAAAAGGTGAAGTCTTACCATGCTCTTCATGCTTCCATAATTTCCAAGTTTGAATGTCACCAGAGCATTACATGGAGGACTCCTTTGCATCACTTAAACCTTCCATTTCATGGATTTGATGAAATTCATTTTGGAAAATTGCCACACATTCAGTCTGGTTTGCACTCATTGCTGTCTGCCCATTACATTGCCCTGTGTAGCTACTTACTGCAAACCTTTATCATTCAATTATGTCAGGAAATCCTAACAGGCAGCTTTGAGGGCTGACGTTCCTCTACAGCCTGGGAACATTTCTTCATGCACCCTAGCAGCCCTAGAGTCTTCTGATTACATTGGTAAACAATGGTGCCTTGACACTTGGGAATGGGAAAAACACAGAAACTGTAGCATAAGACTAATATAGGCATTAAATAAAATAAAGATAGCCTTCTCAGAACACAATACATTCTGACCTACCTTCATGCATGGAACAACTCATCCTTTTTTATATTATTGGCTCAACTGAGTAGGCTTCACTTTACATCTTGGCTTCTGGGCTCTTCCCCTCCTTGTGCAGTTAATTCATACTAGCAGTTCTCTGTTGTTTTAAATTGAACAGAGGCCTGATGTTTGGGCAGGTTGGCACATCCCATTTCTTCCTATTGTGAATGTTCAGATTATTTAAGAAGCACCATATGCTAAATGAAACAAAAATGCAATTTTTCTAGCCTTCTTAGTCAATGGAGTCTGCTCTAATTATCTCATGGTATTCTCTGTATTTCTTTTTTTTAAAATATAATTTTATTGAAAGTTTTAAAAACAAGAGTTTAAGAGTTTAAAAACAATTATTGTTGTAATTAATACAAACTAAAATAAAGAAAGGGGAAAAAAAGGAAGAAATAAAAGAAAAAGCTAATGTGCAAAAAAAAGAAAAAAGTAGAAGAAAAATAGAAAAGAAAAAAAGATATAAAGTGGCTTCCAATCTTGTTTATAGCAATTATAAGTACAATTGTAGATGTGTTTCTTTCTCTGATTCTCTTTTTATTTATTGTATTTATTTATTTGTCATATTTATATATGACTGGGCGGCTTTCTCTTTAATCTATCCTATCTAATAGTCCAAACCACAGATCATAAGTTCATTTTTCTGTTTTATAAAAAAAAAGTCCATAAGGGGTTTCCAGTCAGCAATGACGTGCTCTCTGTATTTCAAGGCCAATGGCAATGAGGATGAGGGTGGCTTAGTTTGATGCAGATTCTGAGATTCTGAAGAATGAAACCAAGAACAGTGGAGAGCAACTACATCGTAGAGTAGATTGTGTTGCTCTATAAGTACCGTAAGTAAGTATAAGTAAGTATAAGTACTCCTAAGAGAAAGGTGGCATAGACAAAGGAATAGGATATGTAATAAAAATTTAAAAACAGGGCTCTTTTCAGTCTCTCCTGGAAATCTGTAATCTGTTTACAGACAGACAAACTCCTGGTTTACCATCCCAGCATCTTTCTTCAGCAAACTTCTTGAAATGGAGCTCTGACTTCTAAATTACTGTTTGATTCAACCTCTGCTCCAGAGACTAGTAGCAGTGCTGCACCCTAGCTGCAGGCGCCAAAGTAAAAGCAGAACACTGTAATTTGAAAATTGCCAAATTTCACCAGTTTTTGGCTTTATGATTTACAATCTCATAAGGTTTCAGGCAAGGATATCAACATCTGGTGAGATTTTGCAATCTCATGCGATTTGGGTCATGTTAATTGGGGAGCCTGCTGTGTGATAGGGGACGTATGGGTGCCATGGGGACTCTCAAATATTTCTTTGCCAATCTTTGGGTCATAAACGCTTCATGATGTTAAGTCTCTTAAAAGAAATGTTTGGAGCCACTGGGTTAGACTAGACACCAGGAACTCTTTGACATACAGAATATTACATTTTCCTGGACAAAAATAAATATGTCCTTCCTTCTCAATTCTTGTTTAAGTGATGATGAACACAAAAGGACTTACCTATGGTATACACAAATATCAGTTTGAAATTATTTTAAGTGTCAGAAATTTTCCCAAAAGAATTTTGGAAATTATAGTCTCATGATATATGGCAAATGCTTTGTTAGAGACCTGATTGTTGCTGCATTGTCACTATTCCAATCATGTAAAAATCTGCACAAGAAACATTTCATTCCAACCAACAAGCCATACTTTAATGAAATCCAGGAACTTCGATGTACTCGGGAGCTCTCAGCTTTCAAATAAGCAGGACTCTAAACCTCTTCTCCCTACTAAATCTAGATAAACATTGAATAACTGAGAAAATTGAGCTTTCAAAATACTGTCACTGTGTTATTAGTAACTTCAGATCTTTGGTTTATTTTGATCTTAACACTTAACACTAAACAAATCAGATTCTGGAATCAGGTTCTACCTTACCATTCCTCACAGCCAAATCCTATTCCTTTTTTTTTTTTTTTTATGGCATACCAATATTTCAGGCCAACTATAAATAGATTCCTTATTTTACAAATCCAAACTCCTTGGCATAATCTTGATCCCTTATCCTATATTACAACATTACATATGATGCAAAATATTGTCTCATTACAATATTGGTAACAAAGAAATATATTTGAAATGAGGCATTCCTATAATAAAATGATAATCTGGGGGGAAAAAACAACACTTGGCTTTGTATAAATCAAAGACAAGCATGGCCCAAACATAGAGGGCATTCCTGTCACTAGGTTGGTGGCAGCCATTCCCCCTCTCTCCAAATAACTTCATCATTGGTAGCAAGCTTCATCTTAGGTGCTGCATTTGCAGATCTTGAATCATCTTCATTAACTGCAAATCTTCAGGTATTACCTAAACAGCTACTGGATTGTGGAAAGCGAACCTAATGACTTGAGTAGAACAAGCCACAAGGTACATAGTTGCAAATCTTAAATCCCTGTAAGGGACTGCTGGGCTTGCAAGTTCTCTGTTGCAATTGTGGGCTTATTCCCTGGTTCCCACATCATCTCTTGAAGTTATACAACCAGAGAGACTGAGCAACTCAGGTGCCTTGTGCAAGAGGCATATCCATCTCTTCAGGTGGCACTCGAGGCTGGCATTGTGGACACCACCAGGTAAGTCTTTTCAACCCATCCGGTGGTCCAAATGTTGCCTTCCTTACCTCATGCCCCTTGGGGCATTTATCTTTCATATAAATCTGTAACTGCAATCTTTGTCTTTGCAGCTTGTTGTGGAGCCACGCCAAGCTGAACTGAACAGCATGATCAAGCAAAGATTTGAGGTCTGAGGATTCCAAAGAGGAGCCAAGGGAAAGTGGATGGATCCTTGCCAGATACAGGGCTTCATTTTTAATGACATTTCCTAGAGGAGAGAAGAATTCAGGAGAAAGTGGACACTGGAGAGACTATAATGGAAGTGAAAAAAGCAATCCTAATGCTAAGGGTCAGCCTTCGCAATCTTACAGGCATCTTTGATTACAACTCCCGTCATTCCTAACAAATTGTCAAGAGGGCTGGGAATCACAGGAACTATATATAGTTAAGAAAGGCCGCTGCAGGGCAGGGTGAAAACCTAAAACTAGAAAAATCCAGGTTCTGATTTGAACTCTGTCATGAACCTTCATGGATCAGTTGTTCTCTCTAGCTTATCCTATCTCAGAGGGGTTATCAAGAGGATAATATGAATATGTTCCTTGTTCTCGTTTTGTTTGGTCCGGGAACTTGCAGATAGACAGACAGACAGACAGACAGTCGCATAAAAACATACACTGCTGTGAGCTACCTGGGGAAGCTGTAGGGCAATTAGAAAACTTTTTAGGCAGTGGGCATCATTATGTTATTTCACACATCCTTGCTGTCTTCATTAGGGGTTTTATGAAGTTATAATTCCTTTTCATTGTACCATGCATGATTTACTGTACTGTATCCTTGTAAGCCACTGAGAGTCATCAGATTGTGGCAGGGTATAAGCTTAATAAATAAATCCATTCATTATTCTGGATGTCAAAAATGTAAAAAAATAAAACATGTAATTCTCATTTTTTTATAAATGGTAGAGATGTGGGTGCCATTTCCGCATGTGGTACGGCCCCTGCTCCATTACTGACCCTCAATGTAATGCTTAAATAGCTGTTAAGGCTCCCTTTTTAAGTCAATTCATTTGCAAAATTCAGTCTTCTTCAATGGAATAGCCTCTGCTGCCCTACTGGATTACAATCCCTGCATATTTTTCTCCCATTATATATCCCAAAGTTAAGCATTATGCAAAAGTTTATCTTGGTATCAGAAATTAACAGATGCAATTTTGAACCTACCTATTCCTGAGAAATAACTTTGGTTCAGGAGCACATAACACACAGGAATATCTTTTGCAAGGACCTCCAAAGCCCGTTCCCGGTCAAACTCCAGGCTCAGGATATCAGTCGCTGGCTCAGTGGTAGGAGAAGAGCACTGCTGAATGCGGCAATTATAAAATACCAGGAAGCCCCCAGCATCAAAATGCAGAACCAGCCTAAATATCCAAAATGAAAACAAACACTGATTAATTTAGAGCAGATGAGCACAGCCTGAATCTCGTGGGCCCTATGTGACCGTGAAAGCTTGGGGCATTACCCCCAAAGCCTTACTAAATTGTAGGTTTTAGTGTAACAGAATAAGAAAAAATAGTAAATGCATGATAGAGAGTCTCTAACTGATTTCTTAATAACTTAAAATTAGTTAATTGATTGACTAAATGCAAAGGGAGTCGAGTTTACTTTTCTTCTGGTTGCAGCCACCATTTTAGAGGGCAGCATACCATCTAAAATAAAATGTAATTCTTACCCCGGAAAAAGTTGCATGTTTTTGCTTTACAAAAACAATTGAGCCCTGTTGACCTACTTCCAGAAGAAAAAGTCCAGCTATAGCAATAGCATATGACTCCCTTTGTAAACCTCCAAAGTGCTAACCTGGGAATTGGATCTTTCCAGTCGCCTTTTTTGTTTGCCTTATTAGCCCTTGCAAACTCATCAGCTCGGATGCTTCCAAACAGACCAAAGTGGAAACGGAGCCATTTCCAAGTGTGCCCATTATTATTATCCATATCAGACGCCAACCAACTTGCTAACTCTTCTTGTTGATAGCACTGAGGACTGCAGATTTCAGCTTCATTTTCTTTCAGGCCCTGGAGAAAGGAACTGCTTCCAGGCATGGCCAGCCTTTGACTGGCAGACCTGTGTTCAGACAAATCCAAGGGTATACTGTCCTGGCTGGGCATTAATTCCTCCTTGGTGCCAAAGGCCAAAAACAAGTTCTTCCCATGGACCTGGAAAAAAAAATTCATTTAAAACATATCATATCCTATTCCATGTTCTCCAGATTAGTAACCCTGGCAGAACTTGTTTAAAGGAGATTGCATCGTGTGTAGGCTGGGGTAATGGTGGTTGTAAATAAATAACAAGACTGAACCTAATGTTGGCACCAGTTATATTAGACTGGAAGAAGCTAAATGGGAACAAGTTCGGTGTTGTTTAAAAATCTAGAGATACGAGACTCGTTTATTTGTATTTTATTCCTTCTTGCATTCCTTCCTTCCTTCCTTTTTATTCCTTCTTCTTGCCTTCTTTTTATGTTTGTTTATATATCTTCCTTAATGTTTAATAAAAATGAAGAAAAAAGAGAGAAAAAAACCCAGATGAAACCTTTAACTAACAGAAGGGTTTGGGCATGTTTTGAGCTGTGAAGCAGGTATTCAGGCTGGGAGAGTCCACCTACTAGGGCTCCCATAAAATAGGCCCAGCACGTAATTCTTGTTAGGGTTTCTTAAACCAAAGACCAGCAACACAGCACCCAGAAGCAGCAGAACGTACATAGCATCCTTACATGACAGTCATGGACATCCCAAAGTATTATTTTTTTCATTACATTTCAAAAATATCTGGCATCTTGCAAGAGCACCAGATCTCTTGGGATTTACATATTCCAACATGAGATCTTGCACACAGACGCTGAAATCTTGCCAAGACTTCGGTAAAAAATTTTTAAAAATTGGGGGGTGCAGTCCCCAAAAGGTGACCAACCATTATATTAACCATTTTTGCCAAAACCATACATGAAATGGAATAATAATCAAGTCTCTAATTTCCCTGGAGCAAAGAGCTGCCCCTTGTAGCTTTGCTGAGTTGTAATATTTTGTATATGTTAATGATGTCATATGCTATATAAACTTTTAATGATGACAATGTTGGCAAAACAGCATTAATAAATAAATGGAGTGTACTATAAAAAAGTTAAATATTTATTATATAGAAAGACTCACTTGGGTATCCCACAGTGTCAGTGTTTTCAGATCATCTGGATTGATCTGTCTAGTGCTTCCTCCCACTCTGGATACCACCTGCCCTACAAAGGGAGAACATAGAAGCTGGAACTTCTTTACAGATGGGCCTTCTGGCATTGCTGCAGGAGCACAAAAACTGGGGATGACAGCTGAGTTCCTGAGGCTCCAGGCAGTCAAGCTCAAGGCTGAAAGAGTGTTGGGAAAAAGTGGTTAAAAATGCCATTCTGTGCAACAGAATGTCTCCTCCCAGGATGGCCTCCAAGCTTGTGGCCTGAACAAGAATGTCCTACACAACACAAAGACTTGCAATAAAGTGGCAGTCCCTAAAATAACAAGAAATTAAACTTTTTTTTAAGCCTATTCAAATCAGTTGGATTTCCCTTGACTAATATAAGTCCCATTAATTTGTACTAATCCACTTCTAAGTATGATTAAGCCTGGAACCAAGCCACACAATTGTGTGATCCCCCACAATTGTGTGATGGGAAGCCAAGCCACCAATTTCATCAGAAGCTTCAGTGAGACGCCTGGAGAGGCAGAAATGGCAATATCGCTGGCACTCCCTCGCTAATTCTCTGTCTTCTAACACAGAAAATACATTCAGCCAAGAAAGATTGCTAAAGCTATAGGATAAAAATGAAAATACCAGATTGTAATAAACAGTGGACTGTTGCATTTTGGGAGTTTTGCACAGCTTCTGAGAGGGTTAGTATCTCAGTGTCTCTCAACCTTAGCAATTTTAAGATGTGTGGACTTCAATTCCCAGAATTCCCCAGCCTGCATGACCAATATCCCCATCTTGAGCAGCGACAGCCTCAACAAAGATGCTTTTCCTCACTGAGCGTACAAGAATGGTACCATGCCCCGCCTCCAAACATGGAAAACATCTGGTTTTGGTGTGGCCCATAACATTTTTAACAGAAATGCGTGCCAGCCTATTGTACCAACAACTATCCTAGGTTGCTTGTTGACCCTTATTGATAGGCACTGGCATGCCGCCGACACCAAAGATTCTTCTTTATCAACCAAGAGCGGATTGAAAATACATTTACTTTGGTATAAGCTTTTGTGGAATACAGTTCACTTTCAGTACTTATTTGGAGCATTACACCGGAAGAGGCGTGCCTGCAACACAAACGTAAATACATATGTGAAGGCACCTGAAAGTTGTAACAGAAGAACAAAGGCGTACATACATAGGCGCGCGCGCACGTTGGAAGAAAATGAAATTGGTACAATCAACGATAAAAGAATACTCAAAGTTATTTCCCTCTGTAAGATTTATTTTAAAGTAGGGGGACTTGGAGCTACCAAACCTGTCTTGGTTCTGATCGCTTCCTTCCTTTCCAAGCTGACTTTCTTCCACCCGCTTCCCGTCTTCTCTGTCTCAAACGAACTACAGTATCTCGGCAGACCTTTTCAGCAGAGAGCCGAGCGGCCCCTCTCCATCGATCTCTCCGCAGCCCATCCTACCTGCGAGGAACCATTTAACTGGGGCTGAGCGAGAGCCCTGGAAACCTACTTACGCTCCCCAGTTCCTCGTTCGCTTTCTTGAACTGCGAGAGAAAAAGCGAGGCATAGATGTAATCAGTGTAATCGTGCATCATCGTGTTTTCACAACTCGCTAAAAGTGGCAAGGTGCAGATACATTTGCACAAGAAGCAACACTTGGTTAGCATGAACTTTGGTTAGTTTTGCAGGTTGTGTGAATGTAGCCGCAATGAGAGAATTTTTTTTTTTCCTGGTTGATAACCTTTGTGTTTAAAAATGCTGGCACATCAGACTGAATCTCTCTGATTGGCAAATCTATCTTTTCCTTAAATGGACAAAACTCTTTTTTAAAAAAAGTGCTAACTTATTTACTAGCATGTGCAGATTTTCCTGTCTCACAGGAAGCATTCTTTTAAGATGAAGAAGAGGCTTCAGGGTGTGCACAATATGCCCGTGCCAAAGCTGCCTTTAAAAAAGAACACACAGAGTTTTGGAAGGATCATGTTGGAGAAGGCTCTTAAGACTACCCTGGACAGCCAACAAAACAATTGGATCATCAAACAAATCAACCCAGTTCTCATTCGAGGCACAAATGACTAGGCTCAAATCATCCTACTTTGGACACTTATGGAGAAGGCTTTAATGCTGGGAAAGGTGGAAGAGGACAACCAGCAGCAAGGTGGATGGACTCAAGTTACAATGGTGATTGGTGCACCATTGGAAGACCTGAAGGACCAGGTTAGAGATAAATCTGTGGAGTCCTTGGGGTTCTCTGAGCTTGGTTCTTTTCTTGCAAACATTTCATTACCCGGCTAGGTAACATCTTGCCA